AATAAATATCGGTTGACTCCGGACTTAAAATGATCAAGATTATAGTAGGAAGAAAGTATTCTATCGAGAGTCTCTTTCAGAACGCTTTATTAATGTATTTAATATTCTTACTTTAATTATTTCTTCATCACTTTCCTGGGAAAAAATTATTGAAATATCGTAAATTCGACTAATTTCTCACATTCTGACAGGTGTTATCAAGTTGTATTATTAATAATTTCAGATTTTTAAATATTAACCCAGTTATAATCTAATTCAGATATAATCACAAAAGAGAAAGAAGAAGCTTTTTTATATACCCTGTTATTTGTATTATCTTCATTATCTTGATTGTTGTACTCCCAACGTTTCGACTGTACCTACTAGTCTTCTTCAGGCTAGTTTTGAAAATAGAATATTTTCATTAAAATATTACCGTATTAGAGAGAATATAGAAACGAATACTTTTGAGAAGAACTCAATTTTGGATTAATTTCTGCATGCTTTAGGAAAGCAACTGAATCGATAATGGCAAAAAAGAAAAAGAAAACTATTTTGATTAAAATGTGGTTTGGAAGTGGTAATGATGTTATTTTAAGTATGTCCCTTAATTTCTACAAGTAATCGACACTTGCCTAAAAAAAAAAACGAAAAGGAAAAGAAACTTGCATAAAAGCAAATGTTATTATCAATAACTTTGGGCTATTTGTAAGAAAAAATGAATGGTAAAAGTTAAGATATAAAATGATTTTCAAAATGCAATGCAAAGGTTTATATTTTATTGCTTAAAGGTCATTTATGTTTAGTGGATAACCATATTTGAGTAGATGCTCTGTTTATTTTTTAAACATTTTATTTATTTAATTTCGTCTACCGGCCTAAAAATTCGAGAAATTTTATTAAACGAAAATATTCGAAGATGGCATTTAATGAATACACAGCGCGTCTACGCAAATATTGGTATCTGGTAAAAAAATAACACTTACATAATAGAATCTAATTAATAAATAAGACTCCATTACTTCTTTAAAAAAATATATGTATCCGAAAACTTGCACAAATGGGATTGAACATTCTGCACCCTTTTTATACCATATGCTTATGTGAAGCAGGGTTGGCGAATATATGCAGCCCGAAGGATAAACAGCTTTGGCTCTGCGCCAGACTAAAGTTTAGTCTAGTAGAATGCCAAAGTTTTATTTTCAAGCCTTGACGCTTTTATCGAATTTGAAGATTTCCAATATCTCACCATTTGCCATTCTTCTATGCTAAGCTTGGCTTTTTAAATGCGCAATGACTAACATTCAATTCTGTAAGCTAATACCCACATTTACTGAATTCGACTTGTTTTGCTACATCAGTATTCCTTTGGAAAGATATTGCTGAGAATATTATGGACGCAATCTATAAGCAACAGAGGAATATTAAGGAAAATGGAATACATATATACATTCATACATAATAGCTGGCCACTGGTATTCGAGGATACCCATCGACCAGTGTGGCTAGCCAGCCCCTATTGCAGACGCTCCATCTGTCACATTTGTGATTGCTCAAGATACACAGAGCGCACCTGTGGTTTATACTGCAACTATGCCGAGCAGACCTTAGTTACAGTTACTGGGAAAGAGCATGCTCAAGCCCTTGGCCAGGATGACTTTTGGCTTTGTGCTAGCACAGCCATCCCACCCTGGGATAGACCTCGATCCTTTCTGATAACACGAGAAATTCTCTTTTCTGACAAATCGACTATGGCGAGATTCGAACCCGGGTCTCATGGTCAGAAAGCGAATGATCTAACCACTCGGCCACGCGCCCAACAACTCGGCCCGATTTATACATATACATACATACATACATACATACACACACACATACATACATACATACATACATACATACATACATAATGAAATGGATTAAGTCCGTAAGTTATTTAATATATTTTCTGTTTATACGTTATTTTTGTACATACGGACATTTAAGTAAATGCACTGTTTTAATTACAAGGTATTAATTGCATTTACAAGCTTGAATGTTCGAGGAAGTTGGTAGAAAATATGCATTCTTCGACAGGAATCAAACCGTCATTTGATCTGACGTGATATACCATTTAGCTACAGAGAAGCGTCTGGTTAACAGAGTCTAAATTACTGTTTTTACACACACAATCTTCAAGTTTTCGTGGTATGGCAGGTCCTAATTGGGAAGGCCTTGGGTAGCACTAACGAATGCAGTTCACCCTACATCTGCCAGGAAATTAGCAGGAAACTAACGAGAGGCAGACACTTGAATCATCAAGGGTTAAAAGCGATTCATTACTCACAAATTGAAATCGATTTTGAACTTTGTCGATCAAGAAAATGTGGATTGGGCAGCTTTTGAAAAAATATGCTAGCAATAATTCATTTTCGGTCTGATCTCGCTGTTGTAAAGATAGAGACTTTTTTTTAAGCATTTGACCTCAAGCAAGGCGGGAGGTCTCTAGCACGCAGGGGGTTACAGAGAGTTGGAGCGAGTGCAAATAGGAGTGATAGAGGAAAAGATGAAGAGAACGATAGGGGATAGATCAAGGCATCTGGAGACGTCGATTGACGTTACATTTGAATAGTTGGAGATTATAACTATCAGGGAAACAGGAAAATGGAGGGATTTCTACGGGCGTGAGGTGCGAGACATGAAGCTGTTAGAGTAGAAGAGACGGCTACATTTAACAGTTTCGACAGTGAAATAGAGTGAGCAAGATGCCAGCCTAGTTGAACGCTTAAATTCATGAAGTCTAGGAACCAGTAAAAGCAGCTGTTTGGAGCAGTTACCATGAAAGTATTTGTAAAAAAAAAAGACAGAGGGAGGCGATGGCACGTCTGTGAGAGAGCGACTGCAGATGAGATGCCAGACCAGGGCCAATTACATTGCATATCCGTCTTCGGATTTTATCAAGGTCGTTGAGACAAACATAATGGGTACCGGACCATATATTGCAGCAATACTCCATGCAAGGGCGAATGGTTGACTTGTAGATTTGGAGGATCGACTCTGGCGTGAAAAATTTCCTGGCGTGGCACAGAGAAACAACTTCCCTTGCGGTGGACGAAGCAGTAATGTGAGACCGAGCAGTCGCAAATACGTGCTGTCATGGAGTTGAACGTCAGACATTCTAATGGGAGGCAGGGATGGTTCTCTCTGGTGAGTAATAGAGAGCTGTTTTGTTTTTGAGGCAATAAAGTTAACCAGTCAATTCCTGCACCAGTTCGCAACTGATTGGAGGTCCTTTTCGAGACAAACGGCCAGGTTAGTTTTTTCAGCGACACTAGATTTGTTTTTGAGGCAAGAGTAAATAGTAGTGTCGTCCGCATAGACGCCTACTTGGGAACCTATTACATCAGGAATATCGTTAATGAAGTTTGTTTAACGGCATATCAACACCTTATGGATCATTTAATGCCGAAATTGAATTTTCTTGGGAGTATTCAAGTAATAAAAATACAGGTTGCGATGGGTAAATTATCGCCATATTAAACTTTTTTCTAAATTTCGCGCATGCGCGTTGTTTGTTTTTGATTTTGTCAACCGCATACAATAGTAGTGTCATTTAGGTACCGTCGGTGAGAAAAAAAAGTACCATGTCGCAATTTACACCGCCAGGAAAATGGCATCCTGTACTACTCGGTATTCGCACCGGAAGCTCCAGTTCGAACATTTCAGAAGAGCACAATCATGGCTTTTAGACAATATCTGCGACCATATTACCCCTTATATCCGGTCACCTAACTCTCCAGACTGCAACCCCTGCGCATGCGCATGCGCATGTATGGGGCGCATTTGAGCGAAAGACAAACAAAACTCCTTGTAACACCAAAGATGAACTGAAGGCAATGGTTATGGCAGCATTCAACAACTTAAACAAAATGACTGCCCAGAAGAGATGCAAGTCATTACCAAGTCATCTGGAGGCCATGGCTGAAGCCAATAGCAATTTTATTGAATAAATTTACTGTTTACTATTTCAAGATATTTGTGTTTAATTTTGATAAATACATCTATGTTGAACTAGTGTTATTTTCATTTTTGCGTAATTCAGGCAACAATTTATCAATCGCATATGCTATTCTGCTTTCACAATTGAATACATGGCAGATGATACTCAGCTTTTGAAAGACTTGTTTCATGATGGTTGGTTGGTTGATTTATTTTGTTTAGCGGCGTATCAACCACTTTGGGGTATTTAATGCCGAAATCTAAATATCTTTACACAATTTTATGGATTCAACTAAATATATATTGAGCTCCAATGTATGCCTTCAGCAATAGATAAAATGTATTGTTGGTAATTTTTCTATAAAATGTATTTCTGGATATTTTACTTTAAAATTGTATTGTTTGTAATTTTACTATAAATAAGTGTCGTTGGTATATATATATATATATATATATATATATATATATATATATATATATATATATATATATATATATAAAAGGATTACTCATTTTTACTATACGAATGCATTTTTATACATTCGTGGTGTTTTTTTTTTTGTTTTGGGGTTTACTATTTGCCCATGGGTTGATATCCATTTTAACCGCAGACTGGACTGAAATCTTCGGATGAAAGGAGCCTGAAGGATTATCATCCTCAAGCGGTTTACATCAGACTATAACCTCTTACACGGCGCATACGAAAAGCAACAACTTATTTTCCACTCGCCATGGTTCATACATCCTACTGATAAAAGCGAAACAATCTTAACGTCTTTATAAAATAAAGGAATATACTTATTCAATGTAGTCGACACAAAACATTTGAACGCTAGTGTATTGACTCATTTAGGTACAAAGAGCGAATCAGTTATATTTAAAAGCCTAGGTGAGCATTAAAATCATCGTGGATTCGATTCGTGATTGAATGCTTCGGAGCAGGTATATATTAAAAATCATCCTTAAGTAAAGTTTAACAATGTCATAGACAAACGAGAGGGATCGGATGGAGTAGGCGGCCTAAGACGCATTTTTTCCGCTGGATGTTCCTTCTTAAAGGTAGATTACTTAGCCTTCTTTAGAGGAATCTTACTAAATTTTGATATGAATGACTAATAAACGAGGCGCGGCATATTTCAAACGGAAACCCCAAATTAGGACAAATTAAAATTTAATAGAGTTAAATTTTCAAAATTCTTTTCTTGGCTTTTATTTATTTCTTTTTCTTTACTTTTCTTTCTTTTTTCTTTCTTTTTTTTTGAATTTCTTCTTTTTTTACTTTTTTTTGTATTCCTTTTTTACTTCCTTTTTTCTCTATTTTTCCCTTTTCTTCCGTCTCGACTTTATTTATATTTTCAATAGTTTTAATCATTCTCTAACCGACATTTTCGTCAACTTCTAATTGCTTCATTTTCTTCCATCCTTTCTTTTTCTTTCCTTCTTTCTTCTTTCAACTCTCTATGTCATGTACATTTTCATTTTACCTTTTCCTCTGCTGTGTATTTCCTCGCCATTTGCTCTCGACGTAACTTTTACTTTATTTCTTTTTTATTTATCTATTTATTTATGACTTTTTCCTCCCCTTTCCTTTTTGAATAATCCCCTTTTTCATTAGTTTATTCTTCCTTTTTTAATCCTAATTTTCTTTCTTTCTTTCTTTATTTCTTTATTTCGTGGTTTCTTTCTTTCCTTTTTCGATTCATTCTATATCTTCTTTACTACGTCTTGATTTTTTTTACTTTCTTTTATTCAATTCTTCCTTTACTTCTTCTTTCTTTCTTTTTTTTTCGATTCTTTCGTTAACCTTCTCCTTCCCTTCTTTTTTCTGTCAATCTTTTTTTTTCTTTCTACCATCTTTCTTTTCTTTTATGCTTTCTTTTTCTTTCATTTAGATAGATTATTCACCTTTTTTCTTTGCTTTGTCTCATTTGTTTTTCATTCCTTTTTCTTTCTTTGGCGGCCTTTTATTATCTTTTCTACTTATTTTTTTTCTATAGCTTTTTCCTCGAAAATTCCCAATATTCTGTCTGTTCAATTCATTCAAATGTTATTCCCTTTTATAATCCTTTTCTTTTCAGACATTTCTTATATTTTCTCCTGTTTTCTTTTGCCCGGCAGTTGTCCCCTTTTTTCTAGCCATTAACACTTTTCTTTGTTTGTCTTGTGCCTTCTTCTCTCCTCCAGATTTGATCTCCCTTTGCTCCCCCAAGGCACACTCTCGAGACAGTTTCCCCAGTCACTTTCTCAGCAAGTAAAGTGCGTCGATCAAATTACGTCCAGCCGCCATCACCTCAAGTGCGTCAACTTGGCAGCAGGTGCTACGATTCACTTGAGTCTTGAGGTCGCCAGTAGCGAAATATAATAGAAAGAACAAAGGCATTCATTTTTGTCATATATATATATATATATATATATATATATATATATATATATATATATATATATATATATATAATATGAAGGGAGAGAGTAAGCGCCTTTTGGTTGAAATGATTGCGTATGTTCTAGTCAGTCCAGTGTTCGATGGAACTAAGAAATACACGATTTTCTTAATTCAATATGTGAAACATTCCTAAATAAAATTAATCATGTTTAATATGCATATATGAATGTCATTATATGTGTACATATATACATACCTGTAGATACATATATATATATATATATATATATATATATATATATATATATATATATATATATATATATATATATATATATATATATTTTTGTGTGTGTGTGCGTGTCTGTCAGTTTTGTTTTGCATACGTAGTATACTTAATTTAATGTATTTTCATTAACATTACATAATTTATTTCTTTTCCTTAAAATCAAATCCGTTATATTTCGCTCACCCTTAGCTTATTTTACTTAATATAAAACATTGCAAATTAATGTTAAACCTGATTTAGTTCTTTTATTTTAATCTAAATATAACACTTCATATCCATAAAAACATATTTTGAATTCTGCTTAAGCAGAATTCAAAATATCTGTTTTTATATTTGAATGAATACAATAAATAGAAGCCACAGAAATGTATATTAAATCAAGTCAAAATCATTTTGCAACTAGATCAGGTATAACTTCATCCCTTCTCCCCCTGCTATGGGTTAATTTGTATAAGTTAATCATTATTATCTACAAAATATTTTTATACTCTAAAAATATTTTCTGTATTTAAACCTAATATCTCAAAAACGAAATATTTGTTTGTTTATATGAACTTTGTTCTTTTGGTGTGAGGAACTCGCTTCCAAAGTTTGTAAAATTAATTTTCATAGACCTTGTTAAGACGTATAAAGAACACTTGCGACAGTTTATTTTATATACACTTGCTTCAGAATTATTAATGTTATGGATATTTGTTCTGATCATATTCTTAATAGTTAATGATGCGATTATAATTACAGTAGAATCCTTGATAACTGGACTAAGAATGCCTTACGGATATGAGGAATTGGTGACAAAGTCCGGATATTTAGATTAAAATAAAGGAACTACAACAGGTTTAACATTTATTTGCAATGTTTTATATTAAACAAAATAAGCTAAAGGTGAGTGAAATATAACAGAAATGATTTTAAGGAAAAAGAAATAAATTATGTAATGTTAATGAAAATTCATTAAATTAAGTATGTCACGTATGAAAAAACAAATAATGTAACGAGATTTTTTAATCGCTGTTGCATGATGATTCTTTCTCTTCTAATGTCATTCTCAACTTTTTCCACATTTCATTTTGCTTTTCTTCTTGAAATTTTTTAAACGAATGCCACTTTTAACTCTGAATGCTGGTTTTCTTTTTAAAAGAATGCTACTTTTAAATCTGAATGGTGGCTTTCTTTCCATAAAACTGACAACCTTTTTAATAGCTTTTTCAATTTCAGTCCAGGTTTCATCACAATCATGTTTTTTATTTCCTTGTTCATTGTGACAGTGTGAACGCTGGAGAATAGTTTCTTTGGAAGATTTTATATCCTACGATGTTGACTTTCCTATGTTGAACTCAGCCATTAGTTACAATGAACTTTCACCAGCTTCTTGTCTGTTTAAAATTTCCACTTTTTGCGATAACTCCAAAGATGTTCTTTTCCTCTTATTGCCACCATCTTTTGCACCAATACAAGCTGTTAGGGTGAAATAAGCATAAGCAATTATACAAAGTAAATTTATTGACAATCAGAAATTTCAAATCAGTTACATATCACCCAAATAGTTCAAATATACACATCAAAATTATGTCCGGATATGAAGGATTCTGGATATGAGAGATTCCGGATATGAGGGATTCCGAATATGAGGGATTCTATTGTATTAAAATCTTGACGAATATCACTTGTCTCATCAATCCCTCGGCGTTTATTGACTCCTTTTGTCCCTCAGACAATTATCGATCTCTTTTAGACCAACATTTATTTAATTGCTGTTTCATGATGATTCTTTCTCTTCTAATGTCATTCTCAACATTTTCTGCATTTCGTTTTGCTTTTGTTCTTGAAATCTTTTAAACGAATGACAATTTTTAAGTCTGCTTGCATTATTGCAATTGTCATAGCTGATTGCTTGTTTTCTTTGCATAAAACTGACAACCTTTTCAATAGCTTTTTCAATTTTAGTCCAGGTTTCATCACATCATGTTTTTCTTTTATTTCCTTGTTCATTGTGACAGTGTGGACGCTGGAGAATAGTTTCTTTGAAAGATTTTATATCATACAATGTTGTCTTTCCTGTGTTGAACTCAGCCATTAGTTACAATGAACTTTCACCAGCATTTAGTCTGTTTAAAATTTCCACTTTTTGCGATAACTCCAAAGCTGTTCTTTTCTTCTCATACCCATCATCTTATGCACCAATACAGGCCATTAGGGTGAAATAATCATCAGCAATTATCTAAAGTAAATTTCCTGAAAAACAGAAATTTCAAATTAGTTATATATCACCAAAATAGTTCAGATATACACATCAAAATCATTTCCGGATATAAGGGATTCCGGATATAAGGGATTACGGATATAAGGGATTCCGGATATGAAGGATTTTACTGTATTTTGATATTGTTAAGAGTGGATAAATTGTTTCGGTTAGCAGATATTAAGGAGCCATTAGGTAGAATTAAATGCCTGTTCTTCTCTAGTTTATTGTCATTGCTATTGCTGCTGTTATTAACGTCAAACTATACTAAAGAGATAGGGTGGCATGTTTGTGAATAACAGCTGCCGTAAGCATGGATGGGCGCGTGGTGTAATATTGAGGGAATCTCCTGTATCAAGAGACAAGAAAATTTCGTTCGAAACGAAGAAAAGACTACTGAACTGATAAGTAATATCGATCCTCCAATATGACAGAAGATGAAGAAGAGACTGGAGGCAACAGAAATATGTTTCTACAGCAGGATAATGAGAATGCCATAGACGGAACATCTGATCAACGACGAACTTTTTCTTGAAATATAAATAGAACAACTAATAATCTTCTAAATAGCTTTTTCAATTTCAGCCCAGGTTTCATCACAGTCATATATCTTGTTGCTATCTTCTTGCAGATGTGTCTATTGTCATCCTTTCCTCTTATTCCCATCATCTTTTGCACCATTACAAGCCATTAATTAGTGGAATCAGGATATGCAATTATCCAAAGTAAATTTCCTGACAAACAGAAGTTTCAAATCAGTTACATATCACCAAAATAGTTCAGATATACACATTAAAATCATTTTCGGATATGCGGGATTTCGGATATGATGCACTCCGGATATTAGGGATTCCGGATACAAGGGATTCCGGATATAAGGGATTCCGGATATGAAGGCTTCTACTGTATTTGATATTGTTAAGAGTGGATAAATTGTTTCGGTTAGCAGATATTAAGGACTCATTAGGTAGAATTAAATGTCTGTTTTTCTCTAGTTTATTGTCATTGCTATTGCTGGTGTTATTAACGTCAAACCTTACTAAAGAGATGGATGAACGTTTTGGAATAAAAGCTGTCGTAGACATGGATGGGCGTGTGGTGTAATGGATAACGAGTCGAAATTGGAAATAGGAGAGACAAGTTCCAGTTCCTGTTGGGTTCGTTATATTCAATAACGCGTAAATAATTTTGGGAAAGGCATAACACCTCCACTTTCACCGGTTAATTAGTAGGATTTGTATCATTAAATCATCTCCAAAAAAGTTATTACAATCTAAACATATTTTTCTGGTTTTAAATGACCTGAAATAGGTTGATAAACCGTAAAAACAAATCGATCAAGTCCATCGGGGATATCAATGTGTTACGTAATTGATCCAACGGAAAACAAAACAAAATATGCTCATATCACGTTATTTCTCAAAATTAAGATTAAGGTTTCTTTTTCGTTCCATATATTATCGATTAACAAATTCAGATTAAAATATTTAAAAAAAAAAAAAAAACTGTCTTAAATCATATAGTATGACCACATTTAGTTTTGGCTTCCGTAGGCGATGTGAAGTGTGGAGGAATCAATTTACAAAGAATTCATTCAGGAAATTCACTTTGCAAAAATATGCACCTCGTGAGACGATTTGTTTCATTTCCTGGGGAAATTTTGGAACTCGATATTCGAAAAATTAGCCATGTCACGTGCAAACGACGCCAGCAAATAAAATCTCGAGCGGTTTTTTTCCTGAAAACTACAATCTTGGTTCAGGGTCAGCCAAGATACGTTCTTAAAATATGCGTTTGTTACTTTCTCTTTCCCTTAGAACAATTTGAACCAGTAACTAGATACCATAAGCGGTCCTTGGACCTTTTATTAGAGGAAAAATCAGTTAAAACATTAAAAGTTAAGTCGCATGAATAAAAGGGGGATAACCCATTTTTGTAACACATTTCTTAGATAGAAATTCACCAAATCAGAAGGCATCATATCAGAATTTGCCAAATTGTTTTTCTAATCATATTCAATTCGATCTGAGTGCAAACACACAAACACACACATACATATATACATATATAGATATAGATAGATACAAATTATATATATATATATATATATATATATATATATATATATGTATGAAATGTAATTGTCATCTTTGATAATGGCTTATGTAAGCCGAGAGCTTAGATTGGATTTAAACATGTATCAATATGGTGATATCCTTTCGTCTTTCAATGATAATTTTAAATATGAAAGGAACTTACTTAAAATAAATAGATCTATAGCATTTAATGAAACATTCATTAATGAAAATGGTTGCCTAAATATACACAATATATATATATA